GCTCATAGAACAACCTGATGCACAACAGAATAAAATATTGCCTGGTCCTGTGCCATCCTCACAGTTGTAATGTTTGAGGCGATTGTCGCCCCCCCTGTGCCAGTCTACCTCTCTTTATTTCTGTCCCTCTGGTCTCTCCTGATAACGTGCTCAAAGTACTCGAGATGAATTCTCGCCACCCTGGCGTCTAAGGAGCGCTCTGGCTGTACTTCTCCCAAGACAGATTTATTTGTTCTTCTGGCAGGCCAGAGTACTTTCAGGATTCTTCCCTGGTGCCCTAATTCAAGTTCTTCGGTCTTATTCCCTGTCCAGCTTTCACGTGCATAGTCAGGCCCATCTTAGTCCTCAGAGTGACATTTCTGCCCTTTAATACTATAAATAGATCTCGTGCAGCAGATCTGACCAGTATGATACTGCGCTTGACTCTTGATTGCTGCTTTCATGAGCGTTGATTTGGGGCCAAAGTAGAGGAACAGCTTTGACAACTGCAGTCTTTCCTGTTTATTACCATGTTGTCGTCTGGTACAATTGTGAGGATTTTCGTTTTCTTTACATTGAGTTGTAATCCATACTGAAGATTCTAATCTCTAATCCTCACCAGTAAGTGCTTCAAGCCACCTTTAATTTTAGCAAACAAAGTGGTGTCAGCTGCATATCACAGGTTGCTAATGAGTCTTCCTTCAGTCCTAATGCTCTTTCTTCACCTGGCTCAGCTTCTCCGATGATTGGTTCAGCATACAGATTGAATAAGTATGGTAGAGGGAGACAACCCTGACAGACACCTTTCCTGATTGTCAACCTTGCCCTTGTTCTGTTCAAACGATTGCCTCTTGATCCATGTACATGTTCTGTGTGAGCACAATTAAGCGTTCTAGAATTCTCAGTCATCAAAATGTTAACAATAGTGTGTTCTGATCCACATAGTCAACCATTTTTGCACAGTCAGTAGACAAATAAATATCTTACACAAGTAAATCTTTCTGGTATTTTTTGCTTTCAGCCAAGAGCCATTTGACCTCATTAGTGATAATGCTTATTCTCTGTCTTCTTCTGAATTGGCTTGAATCTGGCAACTCCCTGTCATTGTACTGCTGTGACCTTTGTTGGATGATCTTTAGCAAAGTTTTAACTATATGTAGTAATTAATGATATTCTTCAGTTTTTTCTGCATTCTGCTGGATCACCTTTCTTTGACTGGCACAGATCTGGATATCTTCCCGTTGGTTGGCCAGGTTGTTTTCCAAATTTCTTGGCATGGGCTGGTGAATGCTGCCAGCAATACATCAGTCTGTTGAAACATTTCAGTCGCTATTCTGACAGTTCCTAGAGCCTTGTTTTTGATGGCTGCCTTCAGTGCAGTTTGGTCTTCTTCCTTTAATACCATCGGTTCTTGATCATATGTTATCCCTTGGAGTGGTTGAACATTGACCAATTCTTTTAGGTACAGTGAGTCTGTATATTCTTTCATTTGATGCTTCCTGCGTCGTTCAATATTTTGCATATAGAATTCTTCAATATTGCCACTTGAAGCTGGAATTTTTTCTTCAGTGTTTTCAGTTTGAGGTACACTGAGCATGCTGTTCCTTTTTGCCCTTCTAAGTCCAGGTCTTTTCACATTTTTTTACAATGTGTGACTTTGTCTTGAGCGGCAGTTTGAGATCTTTTGAGCAGCTCCTTTACGTCATCATTTTCCCCTTTCACTTAAACGTCTGTACATTCAAGAGCAAGTTTCTGACTTTATTCTGGTAACCATTTTGTTTTTTTGGACATTTCATGACCTTTTGTGTGCTTCATGTATGATGCTCTCTTGATGTCATCCGAGTACTTATGAGGTCATTTGTGTTTGGTGCATTCAATATGTTCTTGCAGCGTTCTCACGATTCAGAGGTTATACATTGGCTCTTGTGGACTTTAGTTTTCTCCTGCTTGAACCTGAACTTACAGAAGAGCAGTTGATGATCTCCACAGACAGCCCTGGCCTCGTTTTGGTTGCAGATAATTGAGTTTCTCCATTGCCTTGTCCCATAGGTGTAGTCTGTTGGATTCCTGTCTGCTCCATCTGGTAGGTCTGTGTGTATAGTTGTTTATGTGGTTGAAAAGAAATACTTGCAGTGAAGAAGCTGTGATCTTAGAAAATTCTAAAATGCAATCTCAAGCTTGGTCTATCACCAAGGCCGTAATTTTCAACTAGTGGTCCTTCCTCTGTTTCCAGTGTTTGTATTACAGTCTCTGCACCAGTCATTACTAATACATCTTGATTGCGCGTTAGAACCATTCCAGACTGAAGAAGGTAGTAGAATTC